GTTGCTTGTGGGAGGAGGCCAGTTGAGGCAAAGGCATTGCCTGAGGAGTTAATCCTAGTGGATTGGGTATGGGATAAGTGGAAGGAAGGTGCCATTCTTGAAGTGGTTGACTCGAGATTAAATGGCGAGTATGATGAGATGGAGGCCATAATGGTGCTTAAATTAGGACTCATGTGTTCAAATAATACACCATCTAAGAGACCTAGCACGAGACTAGTGGTGAGATACTTGGAGGGGGAGGTGACACTCCCAGAGACGCTGGCAGCTCCCGATGAATATGATGGAAAGAAGGGTGGTACTAGCGGTATGGAGTTAGAGGACTTAATAGATTCCTATCCGTCTTCGTCTTATTTTGAGAAAGTAAGTACATGGTCATCAGCTTATGACGGTGAAGGCGATATTGATATTGAAGCTAATTCAGTAACGCCATTAACGGATTCTGGCAGAGAGGACAACAGATAGCCATGCAAAATGGAGGGACCATTCTACTTGCCCTCCCAAACTCCCTCCATATTTTAGTACTTTTTATGGTTTGATTTTTGAACTTAAATGTAAATTATGGCTTTTGAAAAGAAAATGATATTAGTATCAACCATTTCTATGGTTTTGAGAATATTGGTGTTAGTAAAATGTGAATATATTTTTGCAATCAAGTCAATTTTGAATCTTGATGAAGCTTGTGCATTTCAGAAAGATTCTTACTTCATTTCGTTCTTTCCCTTTTTCTCTAGTGCTCTTGTTCTCAATACACAACTTCTTATGGCATACTTCTACACATTCTAACTTAATGTTGCAGATCTGTAATGGCTATTGAGCAAAATAAGTTAATATCAATCATAACCAAAATGTTAAAACTAGGCATGATACATAAACAAACACTCAAATTTCGCTTCAGTTGACAAGTAAGCACTCCAACTTTGAGAGTGCACATCTAGACATGTTAACTTGGTCACAACTGACAACTAAACACTCCAACTCGTCCCTATTGTGTCTCGTAGACACTCAATGCTAACGTGACACGTAAAGTTTGGAGGTGTTTTAGATGATCATTTTGTAAGTTGGAGTGTTCAATTGACACAGTGAAGACGAATTATAAGGTGTCTAGATGTGAATAGTCAAAGTTGGAGTGTTTACTTGTTAGCTCAGGCCAAATTTGAGTGTCTGTTTATGCATTATGCCTTGAAACTATTATGGCAATCTTTGGTTGTATGGTGAATTGTCTCAAACAAAGTTATATCAATGGACAAATGTTCCTATGTCTTAATTTGATTGACTGCGAAGTTTGAGAAGGTAAATGAGTCTTCTAAATCCCGTGATCTTAAACTAAATATGTGTACAATGTACAAAAATGTCATTGTAGTCGTAAACATGTTAGATAGGATGTTGAAATTGAAAAGCTAGTAACAATAGAAAATGACATTCTTGTTGAAACAGACTAAAAAGAAAAGTAAGACACGTTTGGGATTTTATTGCCATTTATTCTCCTTCTTTGTCTTTCAAGACCTTCATTATTATTATATTCATAAAGAAGAAAACAAAAGAAAAAAAGCCAAGTCAATACTGGCATTTTATGACAGTTTCCACCAGCTAATTTTTATAGTCAAATAAGCACGTTTGGGAATCACAAAAATGAAGATAAGATTAAGATATATGTCAAAAAAAGAAAAAACAGAACTTTCTTCATAGTTGTCAAATCTCCTAGTAAAGATTTGGACGTGCAAACAAATTATCGAAAGTTGATATGAAAAATAAACTACATACTAAGGTATGATACTCTTGAATGATATGTGAGACATGTTGGAGAAAAATTGCACGGGCTACTTAGCTCAAAATAGACAATATCACATCATGTTAAAAATATATTTAGGTTGATTTTGCCCTAATATTATATTTGTATTTGACCAATGACTACAATGACCAAAGGCTTATATAACCTCCACCAAATCTCTTATGTTTTCTCAAATGAATAAATTCTTTTCCCCCACTCGGAGTCTGATATTTGCATTGAAGATCGTACATTGCAGGGCTCATACTTTTTCTTTTTTGAGGACTTGAACTCGAAATCTCTGATTAAGAATGGACCAGAAACCATGTTGGTAAATGAAGGGCAGAGCCAAATATCATGCTGGAACATGGGAGAATTTATGGGAGTACTATTTAACAGCCCATGTGGCTTAAAGCCTTGAAAAAAACCAAGCCCAAACTGTGCTAAATATGTTATAATGGACCATTACAACTAGAAGAAATTACTATTATAGAACATAATTGGGACTTGCTTCAGTAGGAGTAATAAAGAATAAAGTAGGGACGGGATGTCAAATGACCGAGTTTGGTTAAATTTGAGCAGGTTAAAAGGGATTGAGTTAATAAAATAGGCAGATTCATTAAGTTATGGGAGTTGAGTTGAGTCAAGATGAGCTAAACAATGGGTCAATGCTATTATATACAGAGACGAACCCAGAATTTGAAGACTTTGGGTGCACCAATATTACCTTAGCTCAAATATGAGCTCTAAGATAAACTTAAAATAAAAATAGTGAAATTAACACTCTAGCTGGATTCAAACTCAGGTCTCGCGAGTGGATTCTCTAGCTTGTACCAGCAACATAATGGTACTCCTATTCTTTTCATGGGTGCACTGTTAATTATATTCTAATTTCAGTCAGTTTCTCAAGATAGATATACATATATATACATGATTTTTTCTGAAGTTAACGGGTGTGCGTGCACCCCCACCTAGAGGGATGAGTCTGCCTCTGATTATATATAACATATCAAATTAAAAAAAATATTATTAATTAATTTTGATAAGATTTTTTTTTGAGTCAACTTGAGCTATAGTTTTAGCTAAATCAATTCAACTTTAGATGGACTTAATTGTGCCGATTAAAATAGATTGAACTAATAAATAAACGAACATTAATCCAACTAAATTTGCTAGATTGCAGTCCCGGCCCATGAAACTTTATCCTTTTTGCAGGCCTTCTTATTTTTAGCTTCAAGTGAAAAGGGCTTATTTAAGCAAATACTCCTTTTTTTAACCTACTATTTAGATTTTGCTCATAGTTTTAAAAGTTAGTGCTAATATTGTCCTTGGAAACTAATAAATTATTAGACTGTCGTCTAACATTTACAAATTTATAGATAATGGTCTTAATTTTTTCTCGTAAAATTTTTAGTATATTCAAAAGAATGTTCTAAAAAATCTATAGGTTGCTAAAAAAATAGCGCAATGTTTCATTCAATGATATTTTCGATTTAGGCCTACTCAAGTGAATAAGGGGTTTGGTTCAAGGGGCTAGTCTGGACTCGCGATAAAAAAATGGGATTATTTACTAAGTAGTTGTGCCTAAAAAAGCAAATATATGTGAGGTTGATTCACAAGCAATTTAATGGAATTGGATAATGTAAAGATTTTTACAGGATCAAATATATTTTAACCATTTTTATCAGGCTTTAACATTTAGCATATCATATATTTTTTTTTTTACATAGGTCGTGCATTAAATCATAGATAAATTTAAAATTTGAATGGTATGAGTTTCACCTTTCATCATTCTTTGTTTAACAAAATAAGAAGCAAAATTAAGCGCTTGTCGAGGAGATAGCTGAGCTTAAGCTAGTTTCAACTTAATTTATCATGAAATCAACAACCCATTTTGATATAAGTTCTCTCTACTATAAATTACTTATATATTTAATAAATTCTCGATATAAATATAAAATCTAAGCAAAAATAATTAGAGTCATGAAAATGCATACCCGATATTCTAAATCTACCACTATAACACAAATAAAATAAAAATAAAAATGTACAAGTAGGCTAAATTGCCATGAGATTGTAAATTGTAATTATTTGGAGTTTCAAGAATTGCTCTTTTCTCCTCGAGATCTATAATTGTAGGAATAAGTGCAAAATTACTTTATTAATCTCAAAGCATAATTGCACTTTGCACACTATAAAGCTCCTTTATTAATGATAACCCACCAATTAATATTAAAAAATAAAAAAAGTAAGAGGTGTCATTAGAAAATTAATCACTTTTTTTTAGTGGATGAGATTTTAAGGAATCTATTTTTTCGTAACTTTTTCACATGCCAAAGTGGAAAATTAGCTACTAAACCATTTCCAAATCCTCCATTAACCAATTAGATAAAAGAAATTAGTAAAAGTAAAGTAGACACAATCATGATACATTATTTTGTAAAGATAACCAATAAAGATGAATTTAATGCTCCAAACTTATTGAAACAAAATACATCGTTCATCTCAAATTATCTATTGTAAATTTTAAAATTAATTAATTAAAATTATTTATTAATATAGAAGATTAAAATAAATTTAATTATTCTTTTCTCATTTTATCCTTAATTTAGAATAAGAATTTAAGCAACAATGTACACCACCATACATACTTTTTACATTATCAATGAATTTTAATTCGTGATAGCATGTCAATTAACATAAAGGGTTCTCTATACTTTTGATTTCTCAGTTTTAGTAAATTCTAATTTTAATCCCAATGATATATGATTAAAAATATGCTATTCTAATCCCTTTGCTAGTAAATATTAATAATTTTTCATAATTATTAATCGTTCTACTATATAAATTGCACATATTTTAGTCTAGCATGTAGTATTACTACATATTTGAGGATATTATAATTCTTAAAATAGTTCAAATTCGATATATTTCTTATAAAAAAGAACCAAAAGAACACATTTTTAACCAATTAAAGATTAAATATACATAGTCATATAACACAAGAACCAAAAATAAAAATTTATCAATAGCCAATGATCGACCAAAAATTATATCATCCTTAATAAAAATTTATTCAGTACATAAAACTTAAACTCCGATATAATAATAATAATACTTTTTCTCTAGAAAAGTGGAACATGGAGAAACTGGTCATCGAGTACTCCCTTTTAACTGCTACCACTTCTACATTACATTTGCAGTTATATTTTTTCTTCCAAAATAAAAACTTTGCTTTAAATTTTTTTCTCACTTAGTCAAAATCAAGAACAAAAAAAATTATCAGAAGAATATGAGAACTAATTTACATCTCTTGCTCTTCCTCTGTTTGTCCTGTTATCTATCTATCTCAAGTAATAATTCTCTCCCCTATATATGTTTTTTTTTTATGTTTGTTAAGTCGCGAAGGGGAGCCTTAGAGCAATGGTACAATTGTCTCCATGCGGTTCGAGTCTAGTGAAGGCATATGATCTAGGTAGCTGTGTAATAAACTACTGATGCTTGCATCAGGGTAGACTGTCTAGATCACTTGTCCTTCCTTGGACCTATTGTAAATGCAGAATGCTTCGTATACTGAGTTGTTTTTTGTCATGTTTGTTAAACTTTTCATAGATCAATATTGGTAAACTTTTTCCTCTTAAGAAAATTCTAAAGAGACTAATTGGTATTATCTCCATTCTATTCATCTTAGCTTGTTAAATTGCTTAAAATTATGCCTAATCCACAAAAATTGCATGTGTTTGTTGAGTTGCGAAGGGGAGCCTTGGAGCAATAGTATAGTTGTCTCCTTGTGGTTCGAGCTGTGGAATCAACCACTTATGTTATGCAGGGTCTAGGGAAGGGCGGAAGGCTAGGCAGCCTACACTGACAGAATTGTCTACTTATGGTTGTGTCAGGGTAGGCTGCCTAGATTACAGACCCTTTCCTTTGACCTAGTGTAAATGGAGAATGCTTTGTGAATCGAGTTGTCTTTTTGTACAAATTGTCTAATGTTGTTATGATATATGCAGATGGAACTCAATTGATTATAGTGAACAATTGCAAAGAAAGTATATGGCCAGGAATTCTTGGCACAGCAGGGCATGAAACACCAAACAATGGTGGATTTCATCTCAACATTGGCCAACAAGTAGTAATTCAACTTCCTAACCTATGGTCAGGAAGAATATGGGGCAGACAAGGTTGTTGTTTCGACGAAAATGGTAAAGGAACTTGTCAAACAGGGGATTGCTCCGGCCTCCTGAATTGTTCAGGGGCCGGAGGAATCCCCCCTGCAACGCTCGTGGAAATGACATTAGGAACCTCAAACAATAAAAAACATTACTATGATGTAAGTTTAGTTGATGGATTCAATATTCCTGTTTCAATGATACCAATTCGCGGTAGCATTGGATGTGGTGTTGCTGCTTGTGAAGCTGATTTGAATCAATCTTGTCCAGAATACTTAGCTCTCAAGTGTCAAGGCAAAATTGTGGGATGTAAAAGTGCTTGTTTAGCTACTAATTCACCAAGATACTGCTGCACAGGGAAATTTGCTAGTAAAAACACTTGCAAACCAACCGCGTTTTCGCAGTTTTTTAAGACTATTTGCCCTAGGGCTTATAGCTATGCATTTGATGAATCTACTGGACTTAAGAGTTGTAAGGCGCCGCGCTATCTCATTACCTTCTGCCCTCCTACTTAATCGTACGAGCATTTCTACTGTCGTGTTAAGAAAATGGACCTTGGACGTAAGTAATTAACAAGTATGTTCATGTGTTAACTCAATGTGTGCAACTTTTTTTTTTCCATTCTTCTTACAAGTTTTTGTATTTAACATGTATGTTCATGTGTTAACTCAATGTGTGCAACTTCTTTTTTGTCCATTTTTCTTACTAGTCTTTGTATTGATATGTCTATTGATGAACAAACTATTTCAATCAAACTACTGGACTTAAGTGTTGTTAATAGTACGAGCATTTCTATTTTCACGTTAAGAAAATGGACCTTGGACGTAACATGTATGTTCAAGTGTAAATTTAATAAATGCAACTTTTTTTTTCATTTTTCTAACAAGTCTTTGTTTTGAATAGTCGATTTATGAATGAACAAACTATTTCTATCAAACTACTATACTTAAGAGTTGTTAATGGTATGAGCATTTCTATTGTCGCGTTAAGAAAATGGATCTTGGACGTAACATGTATGTTCTAGAGTTAATTCAATGTATGCAACATTTTTTTCATTTTTTTTACAAGTCTTTGTATTGATCTGTCTATTTATGAATGAACAAACTACTTCTATCAAACTGCTATACTTGAATTGTTATCAAACTACTTTACTCAAGAGTTGTTAATGGTATAAGCATTTCTATTGTTGCGTTAAGAAAATAGACCTTGGACGTAACATGTATGTTCAAGTAGTGTTAATTCAATTTATGCAACTTTTTTTTCCATTTTTCTTACAAGTCTTTGTTTTGATCTGTCAATTTATGAATGAACAAAACTATTTCTATCAAACTACTATACTTGAGAGTTGTTAATAGTATGAGCATCTTTACTGTCGCGTTAAGAAAATGGACCTTGGACGTAAGTAACATAAATGTTAAAGTGTTAATTCAAATGTATGCAACTTTTTTTTTCTTTCCATTTTACTTTTAAGTCTTTGTATTGATCTGTTTTTTATCAACAAACTATTTCTATCAAACTACTATGCTTAAATAATTGTTAATAGTACGAGCATTTCTATTGTCGTGTTAAGAAAATGGGCCTTGGGCATAACATATATATGTTTAAGTGTCAATTCGATGTATGCAACAAAAAAATCATTGTTACTATCGAATTACCACTTCAACAGACATGTTACACGATCGTGATGTATGTTCAAGTGTTAATTCAATGAATTTTTTTTGTTGTTGAATATACCGATTTTTCACTAAATATTTTTCAATGAGAAAATAGTGATTTTTAGTAGTGATTAAAGCAAAATAAAAAAAAGGAATTAAGTAGTTGATATAGCTTTTTTTCCATACTATTCTTAGCATTAAATAACTACGTAAAATAGCAATAGTCAAATTTAGATTTTTCAAAACATCATTAATAAGATTAGTTTAATAAAATACACTTCAAAATAAATTTTTTTAAAGTGCGTTAGATTAATATATGGAGGTCAAGTAATATGAAACGTAGGATACTTCACTTAAAAACTAAGGTTAGATTTGCCAAATTCAAAGTTTTCCTAAATGGACATAGCCAGGCAACTAGCAGCTGGTAATTTTTACAAGAAAGTACTAATTTTAATTAGTGATATTCAAGTGTGATTTTGATATTCCAAGTACAATGTTTATCTTCATGTAAAGGTTTAATTAGGTACAACTATTTATTTAACTACTAGTCTACTATGCATCAAGCAGCTGGTCAACCATTTTTTTACATATTCTTATTTTCTTTATTTATTTTGCCTCTTGGCTCATGAAAAAAATTAAAACAATAAATAATAAATAAAAGGTATACTTTACTATTTTATCCTAATCTATTAAATGTTTCTCGAGATTTGAACACTATTAAAAAGAAATAATTCTTTAATGTAAGGTCATTATTAAAAAATTACTATTTTTATCATTGAAAAATGTTCAGTGTTATTTATACTTATATTTTAATTGAATTGATGAGAAAATAAAAAATAGTAGCGTTTTCATACAGAAAAATTAGAAAGTTTTTCGATATTTCAATAAAAATTTGTATTCCATCTTGTATTTTCTTAGTGACCTAACTCGATGGAAAAGATCTAATTTAGCCACCTAAAATTGAGCAAAGCATTTTTGGATTGAGATTAAAGACAAATTCAAAATTTTAATTTTATAGATTTTGAATTTTAGAACAACACTTTTAAATGTTAGTAATTAAATTCTAAATTTAATATCTTATAAAACTATTAAATTCTGCCCAACTCGTATTCTAAGGGCACTTGGACCCATCCTTTAAAATAAATAAAAAATGAGAGAAGATTAAAAAAGTTTGGAGAGTTAAGTAACCAATCTTTGCATTTAAACGTGTCGTATAGTCTAAACAATCCCATGAATGTTACTCTCGATGTACTCATTTATGTGACATTTTTCATTTTTTCAAGAATCAAACCAATTTAAGTTTGATCTGGAATTTGCGCATGAAATCTTTATTTTTTTTAAAATGAAATTTATATATTTGTAAACTACGTAAAAAATACTATAAATCACAATATTGATAATTCAAAATGTTTAAAAGATCTATGAAAAATTTACGGTCAAAGATAGATTTGTTTGAATTTTGAAATTTAAAAAATGCCAAATAAAATGTGACGGTGGGATTATCAACATTAAGCATAGATCTTATAATATAAATAAGTCTTCCATGCATCAAATATTAGTTGTGAAACAAATAAACAACCTCAATTCTCTCATAACACCACACTAAAAAAAACATTACACTACACAAAAAACACTTAGAAAAAAAAACACAAAAATTCCAATGGATTCTATTGTTTCTGAGCTTGAAGGAGTTCTTTTGAAAAACCCTAATCCCTTTTGTTACTTCATGTTATTAGCTTTCGAGGCATCGGGTGTAGTTCGATTTGCTCTTTTACTATTGGTATGGCCAATAATTCGATTCCTCGAGTTTTTAGGGAGAGAGGAATACGGATTAAAACTTACTATTTTCGTAGCCACGATAGGGGTAAAAATATCGGAAATTGAATCAGTGTCTAGAGCTGTCTTACCTAAGTTTTATTTTGATGATATTAATATGGAGGCATGGAGGATGTTTAGTTTGTATGATAAAAAAGTTGTTGTGACTAAAATTCCAAAGATTATGGTTGAGAGATTTGTGAAAGTGCATTTAAGATGTGATGAAGTTGTTGGTAGTGAACTTGTTATTAGTAAATATGGATTTGCAAGTGGATTAATTAAGGATGATTTTGACAAGATTAAAGATGGGATTATTGAATTATTTGGTAATCAAAAACCAAGTTTAGGTCTTGGTAGATCAAAATGTGGTTCTTCCTTCCTTTCTTTGTGCAAGGTAAGTACACACAAAACAATTTTTTTGTATTTTCTTAGTCTTAGATCTCAATAACTACCTTATGTTATTTCTTTCGCTTCGGTTATCTTTTTATCGGGTTGTTATTAATCTCTGTTTGAACTAAAAGATTTTGTGTATTTATTGAAGTTAAACTCGTAAATATATAGTAAATGATTTAACTATTATTAATAAGCGGCTAGTTAAAAGCAGTCAACTGTTCGTCGACATGTCTGTTTCTAGTCAATGGTATTTATGAAAAATCAACTTTTCAATTTAGTTGTCTTGCTTTTATTTTTAATCTATTATATAAAAGTACTAAGCTTACAATAATTAACAACTTAAAGATTCAATTGACTCTTTAAATTTCATTTGTGTCATATAAATTGAAATTAAAAAAATAATGTATATAAAATAAGATTGTAAGTAAATCTATGAATTGAACTTATATATATCATATTACTTTTACTTCTTGTTGCAGACTAGCATGAAATCTGCTTACTTTTCAAGATTATAAATTTTCTTTTTATAAATATCTTTTGGGTGAACTAGTGATATAAAAATTATTTATATTAACGATATCTATAAGTTGAACTTAAATCTATGGATAAATTTAAATCAATTGATATATATAGCACATAATCTGTCATATTTTCTAAGTCACTATTCTTATTTTATGTAACATCAGTTGGTTTAAATTTATCGATATATTTAAGTTTAACTTATAGATATCGTTAAAATAATGATTTTTTACCTCACTAGTTCAAATGATCTCATAGTGTATTTTAACTCATTGTTTAAAATGTTGTATGGAACAGGAACAATTACAACCACCATTTTTGAGAAGCAAAAATCAAAACCAACAACAACAACAAATTATTATCAATCCATTACCAGTAATTTTCCATGATGGTCGACTTGTTATTCGACCAACACCATTTTTAGCCCTAATAATACTTTTATGGATTCCACTAGGCATTATTATAGCTACAATAAGAATTCTCATTGGCTTAATATTTCCAATATGGTCAATTCCCTATTTAACACCTTTATTTGGTGGTAAAGTCATAGTCAAAGGAAATCCACCATTACCACCATCATCATCAGCTATCACCAGCACCAATCCAGGCGTACTATTCGTCTGTACTCACCGCACCCTCATGGACCCTGTCGTCCTCTCGACCATACTCCAACGTAAAATTCCAACCGTAACCTACTCAATCTCCCGACTCACCGAGGTCCTGTCCCCGATACCGACTGTACGTCTAACGAGGGTTCGAAACGTGGACGCACGGAAAATTAAATGTCAGCTCGAAAAAGGAGATTTGATCATGTGCCCTGAAGGAACAACATGTAGGGAACCGTTTTTATTGAGATTTAGTGCACTTTTTGCGGAACTAACCAATAGTATTGTCCCAGTGGCCATGAATTATAGAGTAGGGTTTTTTCATGGAACAACAGCTAGGGGATGGAAAGCTATGGATCCAATTTTTTTCTTGATGAATCCTAGACCAATTTATGAGGTAACATTCTTGAATAAATTATCAGAAGATGCCACGTGTTCATCTGGAAAAAGTCCACATGATGTTGCAAATTATGTGCAAAGAATTTTGGGTGAAACATTAGGATTTGAGTGTACAAATTTTACAAGAAAAGATAAGTATAGAATTCTTGCTGGTAATGATGGAATTCTATTAACAAAAAATTCTAACACTAATTATGGGATTAAG